CGAATATGAAAATCTAACCTTAATTTAGAAATTACCGGCAATACAAAATCCGGCCACCTAATTGTTAACCTTAGCCCAATGACTAGTCATTTGTCATTTGGGTCATTTCTGATCATTTACCATCACTGTCTAAAAGTGATATTAAAATTAGGTTGGTATTTTAAAATTAGTAACAATTGTTATACAAATCTAATATTTGTCTGATTTTAATTTTAAATAAATTTGTTAGCAATACTGATTATTTCATTTCACGAAACATTTTACTTATATTCACTTTGAGTATAAAATATTAACTCTATTTACTGAACATTATTTTTTGCTCCAAATTATTAATTATTTAGTGAATCAAAACAATTAACTATATGACCAGTAATAAGTTAGTATTTTATGCTCTACTTTGATATTTTTGTTCTTTGAAATAAATTTGAAACTTTTTTAAAAAAGGGTTTGTTAGCATTAGTATTATTTAAAATCATGCTTTTTAAAAACATGCATAAATTTGAAATAATATCTAAAATAACACGTACTGAGTTAAATTAAAACTCGACTTCATAAAGCCGAGCCAAACCGGATCAGACTTTAACATCTATAATTATATGCTGTAGAAAGTGTAACACAATAATAAAGCAAAAAGTGCTCTATAAAAAAAATGATCATAGTAAATAATTTTGTGTAATAAAGTTTGGAGTTAGAGATTATGAATATTTTTACTTAGGGCACTGGACGTTAATTATTCGAGATAGCAACTGTGATGTTGAACACCATTGGCGTGATTTAGTAAAACCGGCATTAAAATAATTAATGATAAATTTTGATTTTTTTCTTTAAACGCATCCCTCTATAAATGGTCTCTTATGGCTGGTTTCAAGAGGATACAATTATAAACGTTTGAATGTATATAATGCATTTGATATTAAAAATAGTAGTACACGTGAGAAATGAATTAATAAACATTACATTTCATTAAAGTAAAATTAGTAAATTAGATTTCGGCACTAAAGTCCGATCAAACCGGATTTTTATATTAAAGTAAAAAATTATCTTTATATGGCTTAATCTACTACCATTCTTAAAAATCAAAAAATTTTAAAGGTATTATTAAATTTTTAGGATCATGTGAAATGTAAGTATGACATTACTTTTGGTGAACTTTATATTTAAAGTAAACCGATCAACCAAGATAATCGACACACTTAATATATGCTAAAAATAAAAGGGGCGGCGCATTTAAATGGAGGCTTTCTTCATAATATGGCTGTGTGCATGCATTTAGAAATTTTTAGTTTTAGTTTCTTACACATGTACTTGGACACAGAGTCTTCTATAAGAGCAATCACTACGTATTATTGTAACATATTACATCCGCGGTTATCAAAAGATCCGCGTGGCGGTGTGAATATCCGCATCGTTATTATAAAATTGGACCATGTATACAAAGATGATGAATAAAAAAAAAAAAAAACTGATCATTGTAAAAGCTGTTTATTTCACCGGTTTTATTCTTTTACGATAAATTATTTATTTGAAATTAGGGGAGTAAAATTAATAATATTTATGGAGTAATAATTATAATAATGATTATTATAAAAGAAAAAATATTAAATGCATCTTTACATCACGAATTTTAATTGTCACGAAATTTAATAAATAAAACAATAAACAAGTTTTAAAATAAACCAGAATTATCGTTATCGTTATTAAATAAATAAATAAATCAACACGAAAGTAAATATCACGCGACGAATTAAAAACAAATCGATTTAGATGATTCGATCGATCTTAAATTTTATAACGATTGTAATAATATTAATATTTGCACAATCGTACCAATGTTGGGGACAAACTAATATGCCAGATCTAGTTATCACCGAGAAAAGTTATTTTGATTTTAGTCAAGGTATGAACAGTTATGATATCATACTGTAGTTAAAAAAAAACCATTAATCGAATATTGTCATAATAAAGTCACAATAGGAACAACGTATGTAGCTGGCTGTAGCACCTTCGAAGATGGTTCTCTTCGCCTCTTTATAGTCAGGAAGGAAGCCAATGAAACCAATCTCTTACAAAAAATCATATACGCTAACGGAACAGAAGCAAATACATCACTTGACAGTTGGGGTCTTCCCATGGGCATACAACCAAATACCTTATCACCTATATCCAATAACAACGTACTATTCGCCTACGCGAATGGAACAAAATTAATGACTGATCCGAGTAATCCGATTCAGAAAGATACATGGGCCGGGATCGCAGATGAAAAAGGGAATTTATTAAAAACTGTGTTATTGATGGAGAATAATGAATTTGCTAGTATTGAAGGATTTGGCATTAATAATACAGCACATCAGTTGATAGCCAACGGAGATAATTTTATTTATGTGAGTATTTATGTTGAGCCTTTATAATAAATTTATGATATAAAATTATGATTATGACTTATAAGTTTTATTGGTATAAAATATTGATTAATAGGTATATTATCATGACATGGGAAATTCTTGCGAAACGATCAAATGGAAAGTATACAATAATAATTCAACATTCATAGGTGATAACACTTATAACATCACAACAAAAGAAGGTTGCGTTCGTTCTTATAATACTCAAGCTGTAATAGATGGCGGTTTCCTGATCACATGGTCCGTAACCATGACACCTTCAAATATTTCTGATCCAACATCACCACCACAAACTCAAAGTCAAGTGTACGCTGTATTCATTAAACCAAACAGTGCGGATGTCAAAACAGCTCCATTTGTTATATTCTCTGGAACTACTGCTGCAGATATTAAAATATTGGCATGTGCAGGGTCAAGTATCGGGAGAGGGTTCAATTGTTTCTTGCAGTCAATGATGAATGATTCGACTAATGGAATTCAGCCTTACCAAGTTACGTTCTTATCGAGTGGGATGGTTCATAATGTAGTACCGCTTAGATCTAATATTACTAATAATCAAGCCACTTTCGGTAATTTGCTGGATTTGGCTGCTGTTCCTTTACGGTAATTACATTTTCTTAACTTGTTATTCATCTACAAGAGTACCAGGATCTTTATTATCTTTATTTATGCGCACATATATATATTATTCTTTATAAAGCTATGGTGGATTTCTTCTAATTCAGAGCAGTTTACGACAAAATCCACTTAATTTTTTAAATCTAACTGGTGCGAACAGTGTATTGGATCTATTTAACTATAGTGGTAGCTTGCTGAAAGAACAGAGCACGCAGATAGTCTATACAGGTGCCTCATGCGTATTTCCAAATAATAGTGTGGTTTTTACAGGATTGCCAACAAATTTGTTGGATCCTAGGTACATGGAAGGTTATTCGATTTATACCATTAATTTGCCCAAATTTTACGAAGATGGTAATTTTATAAAAAACAAATACTTTATAACGATAAACTATAGCAAAGTATAGTGATAAGAAAATGATGCTAATACCAATTTTTTTTCATAGATACTGGATATCAAAATCTCAACATCTTTTCAGCATATCCATCCAGAAATGAAACCAATGTTCCAATAACATTTGACTCAACATCATTCACTTTGAAACTCACATATCGAGGACTAGTTACACTATCCGGCCGTGGTAGCGTAAATATATATCAAAAAGGATATGATGACATACCAAGATTAAAGATAATGAGTAGCTCTGTAAAAACATCTGATAGTCCTAATTCTTCTACTACTTTATATATGAATTTGATTTCTAGTACTCTAAATTATCCGGAAACTGAATATTATGTTACTGTAGATGATGAGATGGTGCAGAACGTAGATTTAGCTGAACCTTTACCTGGAGTTAGAGCTAACATTTGGAATTTTATTACAGGTGAGCAGTTCGTTTTTCTTATTTATTATATTTTACTTAATGAGTTTGATGCCATTACGATTATGAATTATTTTTTTATTAATCAATTCAGCCAAACAGTCATCATCATTTTCTGGTAAGTTATTATTTTGCTTATAATAATTATAACATAACAAACAGATAGTATATATCCTTTTTTTTTCTTTAATAGGGGCAATTACCGTACTTCTTCGATTCCAACCAACATCCCTTCAATTTTTCCTTTCCAATTCAACCGATGCAATCCAAAAAATCCACGCCGAAATCTCAAAATTTCTTCCCGTAAATCGTGAACGTCTCTCCACACCATATAACGCATGGTATTACGACATGGGTGACAATCATGATTACATTATACTCCCTTTACAAATCTCTCCTGGCGATTTTTCATCTGTTTCAAGTTTTAGATTATCATCCGATCTTGAAGATTTAATAAGGAATTCTCCAAACACTAATATAGCGAATGGAAATATAACATCATTATTGGACTCTAAATATGGTGCTCCAATACAAGTAGACTTTTGGTCAGAAAATAAAGTGGTGTTAATAGTAGCAGCTGCAATAGTGATTCTGGTAATATTATTTTATGTTGCGGCCGAGTATAGAGATTCTGATGCAAGAAATACAGCAGTACCACAATTAGCTTTGGTTTTAGCTGATTTTTCTGTTGGTAAATTAATATAAATAATAATCTAATTATTTTGTACTGTTTAATTGTCATTTTATTATTATTCTCATTTTTATTCTATTTTATTTTATTTTTTTTTTAGGTTTAATATTCTTAATTTCTCATTCAAAGGATGTCCCATTCCTATTTGTTCCTACGCTAATTTTTTCAATTGTTCCTTATACTTTTAATTTATTATGGTCTATATATATTGTACTCAGAGAATCATTTACAAATAATGTTTTTTTTAATTGGTTTAAAACAAATACTGCTGTTGCCTCTATGTTTACAATTTTAGGGATGGCTGAAGTTGAAGTTTTAGGTATATTGAATTCTAGAGCTGCTGGTGTTAAAGCATTACAAGCTCCTTGGAGTAGATGGGCTGGTATAATGATATTTGTGGGAGGTTTGGTAGGCTTTTTTATTGAAGATATACCAAAATTTATTATTCAGGTTGGTAAGAACAAAATTATTAGAAAAAAAAATATTTTTTTTTCGTATTTATATTTATAAAAATAATAAACATATTATATAGGTTCTGTATAAGTTAAATACTGCAAGTTATAGTGTTATCCCTTTTTTAAGGCTTGTGACATCTTCCTTAGTAATACTTCACGCAATAGTAGGAAAGGTGTATTTGGGTGTCGCAAAATGGCGTCAATCCAGACGTCAATATGAACCTCCAAAAGGTGGTGAAGATGCTTGGAGAGAATTGATGAATGAAGTTGAACGACTAGCTAAAGATCATTTAGAAGAATCAAAAGCTTCTATCGCTGCTGCCAAGCTCGCTGCTAAGAAAAAATCCACGAAAAAAGATGGTGGGAGAGGGTCTTCAAAGGGTGGTCAAGGCAAAAGTCAAAATAAGAGTGGAGATAATTTGGGAGAAGCTGGATATGAGGGTGATAGAGATGAAGGAGGGAGAATGCAAGGAGGAAGTTATAGAAGTTCGAGTGTAAGTCCTATATATTCACCTACAGGAGGTGTTAGCCCAGGAAGAGAGAGAAGTGACAGAAGTGGAGATGTTAGCGAAAGTGAAAGAAATGGTGGAGGTGGAAGGGAAGAGCACGGAGTTGTATAGTTTTTTAGTTACTATTTTAATTGTTTGATATAAAACTTTAAATTTTAGATTATTTTCGATCTTGTTAAACATAATTTATTTGCATTATTTCTTTTCTTTAAAAGACAAATCAACAAATATTATTTATTATAAAAAAAACTAATTATAATAAATTACAAAAAGTATTTTCAAATATTGATATATTCTAAGTAATATTACAAAGAGTCGGAGATATAACAAGTATTTTGACCATATATAAATCATATAGTTCTAAAATGCTTAAAATATTAATAATATTAATTTAGAATACGTATCTGAAATTTACTTTATATAAAAGAGGATTAACTATTTGTGAAATTATATTATCTAATATCTGACTTCTTTAATACATCATCCTTCTGTGCTTATCTAACATCTTTTTTAATATTTGTTGGTTAGAAAGTAATTTATTAAAAATGGTCTATTTTATAATATTGTACTAAGCAGAGGTTTTATTTTTTAATACACCAAAAAAAATAACTTATTACGGTAGTTGTCACCAGTAAAATCAAATTAATTCTAATTCTAACAATCCATAGCAAAGTGGAGTGGAGGATGATATTAATCTTGTTCATCACGTGAACAAATGAAAAGTAAGCAAAACTAAATACGAATCAAGATGTATAATCTAATAACGATAATAAATGTTATATAATTGCGTAGCAACGCCGTTTGTTCGAGCGCGTACGAAAGCCAATAAAATTGCTTTATCATGTGTAACGTAGTTTCGGACAATTTTCTATTACAATGTTTATCCTCACGCGTGTGACGACCAATAAAAACTGTTCAAGTGTAATTTTAAAATATGCTGCTTTTAATTAATTAATTAAATTTGTTAATTAACTTTCGTAGAGGCGCGAGTATATTATCGTGTGGTCTGGATACTATTTGGACAGATATTAATGTATTAATTTGTAGATATACGTGATAGTTTATTAATGCTTTTGACTTTTAATAGATTCCATTTTTTTTTAATATGTGATGTTAATGGATAATAATTTACGCAATAACCTAAAACTAGCTTAACATACTACGAAACTACTATATACTGTGTAGGGATGGTAATTGTTGTTACTACATATTTTAGAATAGGCGATCGTATATCGATAATAAATAATTTGGTTAAATCAATAAAAAACTTTTTTCCACCCCAAGTAAATTTTTAATAGCGTCAAGTATAACACTATTAAAGATTTCAATAAAAAAGATTTAGCATCCAAATATTTTTATAAATGTCCCAAAATTTTTTTTTCTTAGTTATCTTTATAAAAATGATACATGATACATGGTAATATAATTTTTTCGTTATTTTTAAAATTATTATTTCTAGATTTATCGTTATAATTAAACTATTACTATATATATAGTTAAAAAAATCTCCATAAAGAATTCGCACCTTTTCTTGCTTTATATCTAGCAAACTTACTACAGCATACCCACATAATTCCGAGTCCAATACACCATAAAAACCAGAATGTAAAATCACGTAGGTTATATAGCTTACTTCTAAAAATATAAACCAAACAAAGTTTCATTAACCAATAAACTTTAAAATGTAAAACATAAAATAATAAGGCACTTTGTCCAAAACATAATAACGGACTAATTACGACGATTGTTGCGAAAGAAGTTGCGAGAGAATCAGAGAATAAAGAAGTTGGAGAGGATGATAATGAATATAAGAAAGATAAGAATAGATGATTTAGTCCCATGTAAAACGTTATATATGCGAGATCTGGTGGATACATAATAACGTTGAAGAATTGCATCCAATTTGCCAAATAAGGGTTGTTAAATAATGTTTTTGGTGGTAATGGTAAAAGTTCAGGATTTATGTTTCCAAATTTTCCAGGGATTCGAATTAAGAGAAAAAGTATAAAAAGTATAGCAAAAGCTTTCTAAATACGATATAAAATTTAAATCGTTAATTAAGTATCTATATATTAATGATTGAAATTTTGATAATTAATTATAGTTTACCAAATTGAGACGGATATTGTATGAAGTGTCATTGACATTCCGTGATGTTAATAGAGCAAAAGCTACGCCATAAATTACAAGTGATAGCCAGTCCAAAGGTGGATGAATAAAAATAAATGACTTATAAACACCTATTAAAAAAAAAAAGATTAATGTTAAATTATACGAACAATGATAATAAATTACAAAAGTAAACATACCTGGTAATACTAAAATATATCTCCAAAGACTTTCAGTAACAAATGTAATAGCTTTTGGAGTTTGTAATACCACACCAACACTCAATGATATAGAAAGCGTTATTAGAACAACAATTCGAATTGTTTTTGTTACTTTACTGACAACATCAACGTTCGCATCTCTTTTCTCAAAAAATCTCATAAATAAACAGTATAAAAGAATACTAATTAGGAAAATGATACCACTAATTGTGAAATTTATGCCTAGCGCAAATAAAACAGTAGCCATATGGTACATCCCTATAATATATATTTATATGTTAAATATATGTTAGTATATTTCTTATTTTGCAACGAATGAATAAATATTTTACTTACCATCTTCCAATGCAAGCATGAAAAACAAAGAAAACCAAAAATTCAGCAATACCAAAACGATGCCTCGAATAAAAAAATGTGCCGTTATACTTTTAAGGGACCACCCCATCATTATTCTTGATTGTGAAAATAAAACAATTCCAATACCCATCACAAAAGCGAACCCTAAAGGAGCTAAATGTGATGCCATTTTCATTAAAGTGTAAAATGGTTTCGTATATGAAGGTTGTGAGTACCATATTTCCATTCCTAAATATTTCAAATATATAATATAAATATATAATATAAGATTATATAAAATTCGAAAACATAGTTTAAAAATCTTACGAGCATGACTTCCACTTTTTGTCAAAAACATTCGGGCATCTAATAAATTAAGAATTTTATTGGTTCAAAACAAACATTTCACGTATGCATATATAGATTTAACATCATCCTTTAAAATTATTTACGCTCGACAGATTGTAAAAGCATCATAAATCCACGAAATACATCCAATGCAACGATACGTGGTGGCTTTGTTCTATAAACATTATGAGCTCTTGGAATTCCATCTGGTGATATATCAAAAGCATCTTCTAATAATTGACGTCGTGCTTCTGCTTCTGCCTATTTGTATAAATAAAATAATTGTTATTATGTCAAATTCTATTTCTATCTAATAATATTTCATTCACCTCATTACGTAGAAGCCTAGTTCTTTCGTCTGGTTGTGTTGGCGGAATCATATATTAATATGTAATTGATCGAAATTTGAAATTTGAGAATAAAGGGAAAATAAAATTTAATGCTAACCTACCGTTTAATTAAGCTTAAATTATCATTAGAATCAGAATATCATATCCAAAATAGGTTAATGATACTCACATGGGGCATATATCATAACAGCTGACGCACATCATATGTCGATATGTAGATTAGCGTTAGTAGATCACGTAATATAACTGATAAATATTAACAGTACAATATTACCGTTTGTTGCAGTAATGTCATGTGATTCTGATGAAGCCGCAGTAACATTTCTATTGCCATTGCATGAGCGTGAGTATATATAACGGATAAAAGATATGTAGCTTACACTTTGAATATGCTAAAAAGTTTGTTTAGCAAATGCGAAGAGTGTATGTACGCCTAATAGTTATACTAATTATATAAATAATTCATTTACTATGATTGGATTACATCACTCCACATGGCGTCTGATTAAATTCATCACCATCAGGCATTAGCATTCGGTGATTAGAACAACATTTCCATAATAAGTTGGGTTTTGCGATCGAAGTTAAATATAATAAAGGGAGATCCTAATCATCTTATCAAATATCGAGCACTAGATCAACTTAAGAAAGATTCATGCAAAGAAAACTGGATTGTTCTCTCATGTGCTTACAATACTATTAAAGATCTATATATGGTAGTTCATCTTCAACTTTAATTCTTTAATTATTAACAAAGATGGATCTGCAATCATTTGATAACGATAATTGTTAACAAAAATAGGATTATTTATGCAATATTTGCCCCGGTTTTACTAATGTCCCATGTAAAATGATTGATCAATGTTCTATTAAGAGAATACCGAATGGGTATAATGGCAGTTAACCACTCTGAATAATTTGAAAAGAAGTACCCTAATACAGAACAAAATTGATCTAAGGATAATGGAAATCAGTATCTTAATATTGCATTATCGGACTTGACAATAGATTCTGCCAGGCTATGTTGTCAGAAATTTTAACCGGAATATTCGGATTTCTTTTATTGCGTTTTGTTAAAAGATTTGACCTCTGCAGATCACAATGCTGTGTGAAAATCGGAAATTCTATAAATATAAAATTGATCGAAAATATGAATTAATAGACAATTTAGAATCTCAGAAATTTTCCTTGTTCATCACCACGAAAATCATGGGGTCATCTTTTTGCAAAGCGTTATAACTCGAATCCGTTCATTAATTTACACCTTAGTGATAGTTATTTCCCGTTTTTCAAGTTACCGCGACCATTGGTTAATCATTACGCAAAATCTACAAAAAATTTCTTTATTGCCATCTTCAAAAAGCTGTATTATACCACAGGGATACCATAGGGATCCTTAATTTTTACTAGTTATGATTTCCAAATTCTTTGATTCCCAAATGGGTATATGAGACCACTACAAATTCCTTATTTTTTTACCAAAAATAATGTTATTTTCCCGTTGCAAACTAATTTTTTAATATCTATTATTATGGTTGTTGACCAATTATTCTCATAAATTTTGAACGAAAGGTCCTTAATAGTGCCTTGTTTATTTCGATATTCAACGCTATTTCCGAATTCTATAAAATAATAGGATTCAAATATTTAAGTTAATCAGGCTCTTAATTATCAAAGTTCGTGACTAATAACTAACCAATTGTGTAAATTTATATTTTCATATGATTCTCATGTATAAATTTGTTGATCACAGTATGAAAAGTGCAGTAAATTAATATGGATTTTCCATGATACTCGGCTTATTTTGCCGATAACTTTTTTTTTTTGTTATTGTAATTAAAACTCGTAAAGAAGAGGATTATTCGATTTTAAGATGTTTTCATTATTTCGAATTTGGCTCAAAAAGCAATGTTGGAGGTTAACTGTAAACCAAAATTATTCGAGAATTGATAAAATAAATCTCGATACATCTAGTATCCAACTCTCAACATTGTCTACATATTTAGTTAAATTAAAAAGAAATTACTGTAGTGATAATTCAAAATATATGGATCGGAAAAAACAATTTATTAAAAATGATTTGCATTATTTGAAAAAATTCGAACTTCGAAGAAATAAACCTGAATTTAGAGGGTTGACCGACCAACAAATCACAAAGAAATTACGTTCAAGGCATTTAAATCAATTACAAAAACAATTCTGGGAAGCTAATTATAAGAATCCGAATTTTGACTTATTAAAAGGTACACACTAAATATTTATTAGAATTTATATATTATCTTACGTTGTTAATTATCTTTCTGTTTAATTTATTTACCGCTCGATTTCTTTAGAATTTCCATTATGGTTAAAAGGAAATAAATTAATAAAATTTACACCGTGTTTTGAAGGAATGACATTACGACAAATAATATATTTAAATGAAAAAGAATTAGAACAAATTGGTATACATAGATTTGCTGCTAGAAAGATCTTAGTGGATTGCTTTAAATTTTTACGCATTGCTTTGGTAGGAATAATACCGCGAGTATTGTGGGATTTTAGATTTTAGCTATTGGCACTTTTGTAGATTTATTAATTGATGATTTTTTAAATAGGAGGATCCAGAAAATCGACATCATCCAAAGAATCAAAGATTTCTTGACATGACTGTCACGAGAACATGTTTGAATGACTCGATGAAGACAGAGAAGACAGAGAAGACAGAATGAACAATGGATAAGACAGTGAAGGTGACGTGAGATTTCTTTACATAATAGAACAAAATTACGTAAATTACATTTATCATTAGATGAGTAAATGTCTGTTGCTAGCGGTGTCGTCTTCTAAACTGGATAATCTGCTGCCAACGGGGAATAACATCCTTATCAACCCATCCTTCTAGAATATTCTTCATTAAATAAAAATGATCGACCTTTTCTGCATCATAAATATAATTTATAGACGTCAAAACAGTAATTCTACTTGGTTTTACACGTCTTTTCTTCATTAATCTTATTATATCAATTATTTCATGTCCATAATGATTTATTCCTAACAAGTTAATATAAGCATAGAAATTTCGTTCGCTGAGCGGATAGTAGCTATTCACAAGATTTGTGAAAAATGTCTTTCCTTCATTCACACGACCATTATGCGCACACGAATCAAGGAAAATTGTGAATGTATGTTCATCAGGTCCAAGTTTTGAATCCTTGACTAAACCATTATATAACTCAAAAACACGATCTATTTGTCGCTCTCTATTACAAGCGTCCATCAAACAGTTGATGCAAGTTGCATCTGGTTGAACACCCTGCGCTAGCATTGTTTGATAGGTATCAAATGCTTTTGAAAGCATTCTTTGATTGATAAATGCATTCATTATACTACAATATATGTACTCATTTGGTACAATGTCCGTTTTTTTCATGTCATCAAATATTCGGAGTGATGTATCTAAATCACCTAACGTAACAGATGCATCAATTAATGCAGAATATGTGACAACTGTAGGCTTTATATTATTTGCAAGCATTTCTTGATAAACACGGACAGCTTCAGTATACTTATGACATCTTGCTTTAGCAGTAATAAGTGCGCTATAAGCGATAACATCCGGTTCTATTCCCGCTTTTTTAATGTCTTTAAATATTCTATCCACAACTTGTTCATTAACGCCATTTTTTTGCATCCATGCAACCATTAAAGATGTATAAGTTATTAGATTTGGTGATAAATTAGATACTACCACCATATGATAAAACCATCGGCTAGCTTCCTTACAAAGTCCTGCTCGACCATAGGCTGTGATTAAAATACTATAAGTATGATGATTAGGTTTAACTCCTCTTTGACTCATATGTTTAAAATAATATTCTATTGAAGATATATCTTTTACTTTCCCACATACTTCAAAAAGACTAGAATAAGTTCTGACATTTGGTTGAATATTTGCTTTTAACATATCTCGAAATAAAGCTTCAGCTTCTTTCTTCTTTTCAAGTTTTGCACAAAGATTTATTAATATATTATAAGTTACATGACTGGGTTTCAGATTTTTACGTCGCATAATTTCCAATATTGAATAAGCACTTTTGAAATCCTTTCGTTTAACGCAACCTGAAATTAATGTATTATAAATTTCCAAAGCAGACGGACAATATAGATTTTCAGCCCATTTTTCAGCAAATACGGATACATCATCTATTACTTTAACATCACTGTAACTTACAAGTGCAACTAACATATTAAGCATTGAGTCCTTTGGTATTTCCTTATTAGCTGATACCAATTCACCGAATAATTTTATTGCTTCATTAATATCAAAATTTGATATATGTTCCATTACGGTCAAATAACGTAACCATACTTCATCACTATTTCTAAGTTTTAAATTTTTAATAAGAATTTTGACTTTTTGCATATCAGATCTTTTGATGTAATGTTTCAATAATTGTTGTTGAAACTTAATGGGAGAATTTTTCAAAAGTCCATAACGTTCTAATTTTATATATAAATCCCAAGCTTTAGCGATGTTTGCATTATCAATATATTTAAATGATTTAGTTATCATTTTTAGAAGGTCATCTTGAATATTTTGATTTTCATTAATTGGTGTAAGAAAATTTGAAGTAATCTTTGGTTTTTCGAATTTAAACTTCAAAAAACTTTGCTTTTTATTACTAAATAAGTAATGCGACCTACTATCGAATTCGGTGATTCTTGGGTAATAAAAATCTCCTTGAGCGAATTTTAAAATTTGTGGCGATATAAATGGTATTTCTAATGTTCGGTTTAATTGTTTTAAGTTGTTGTTCATTAATTTTGTAAAATGTGTTCGAGTACTGTTTCTTGATAATAACATCTTGAGGAAAAAGAATTACTCATGTACCTTAACATGCATCTGAAATGTGGATCTTTTTTTTTAAGGAATCCGATATTGTCACATGATCAAAACCTTTCCTGATAGATTGACGGCATCACGGGGTATATATTATTATATAGTAAATAATCACCCTGTGTAATGTCAGAAAATGGCCTGTCGATATAGCCCTTTTTTTTTTAAAAAAAAAACTATTGCTAATTTTATGAATTATTATTATATAATAGCTGCGGGCGTTCCAAAGGAATTTCACACTTTAGGCTTTTAAATTGAATCCGATAAATTACAAATTTGAAGTCAGCACCCATATACAGTAGACCAAACTACTAGAAGACTTAGATGTCCAAAGTTCCATAAATACGAATAGGTCTGATTTTATTGTTTGCTTATCAATAACGATAGAGGTTTCTATTAAAAATAGTAATGAACATCATTAGAAATGGGGAAAATGCGGTTTTGAGCATGTCATATATTTTATACACAGGTAGTACAGATTATATATCTTTACTACACATAATGTTGAGTATAGTTTATTTGTTAATGATGCGCAGTTTATAGTACGCTAGGATGCGTATGCTTTGCGTCGTTTATTGATTCCCGTCAAAGTACAGAGAAGTTGGCAAAGCCAAGGTAGAAAACTTTTATTCAAAAAAAAAAAAAATTCTTAAATATAGTAGCTCTAACATCAAATATGTAATTTTGATTTGCGTGTGGCTGATTAGTACGTCAATAACCTGGCACAATTTGAGAAATGTGAAGCTATAATAAACCGGCTTTAATTTGTTCCTTATTTAATAATAATGATAAATATTCCTTGGCTCGTGAATCTCTTGACAAATACTAGAAATTTATATTAAGTCAAAGGAAAAAATACCGTATGAGAAAATTTAACAAGCCGACCGCTATCTTAAAGTCAAAAATTAATTTTATCTGAATTTCGAAACAAAGCGAAACAAATGAAAACGTTCACTCGAATTTTGTGAATTTAAAATATCCATATCCTAATATCAATAAGGTGAACCGGTAACATACGAAGGTTATTAATTTCGGATTGTTTTATAGGCTATATTTAAATATTAAATTAAGTATACATTTTTTGGCACAAGTACAGTCCTCCTCTACAGTCACCTCCTATATAGTCACACTCTCTTTATAAGCACCATTTCGAAAATTTATTGGCAATTTATTTATTAATTTATTAATAAAAAAAAACTTATATAATCACATTACTATTAAAATTTATCTTTTTTATGTAAACAAACCGCGTGATTAACGACTGTATTTATTTATATAATAATTACAATTAAATTAATTCGTGATCCGTCTGGCGACCAGTGAAAAAATAGTAAACTGTGGGATATGTTTACTATGTAAATTTGCCTTTTTTGGAATCTGGCATTTCCTAAAGATAAATTGATGTTGTAATAAGCAAACCTTCTCTTGTTGTAGAGGAGAAAATTACAAGCATAATGGTAGCTAAAACATCAAAATCGGCCTGGTGAATCATAAGATATGAGCATTTTTGTTTTTACGACTATCTTATTTGTTAATATAATATAGTCGTGAGGACAAATACGCCTATATCTCACGACTTACTGGGCCAATTTTAGTGTTTCACCTACCATTATGCTCGTACTTTTCTCCTCCACGACGGTTATTATGCACATAAGAGAGGTTTTTTTTAGTACGAAATCGATTATCCTTACAGTAGGAAAACGCCAGATTCTGAAAAAGGCGAAATTTAATGATTTTTCACTGGTTCTAAAATAATTTAAATAAATTAATATTTAATTAAATATTAATACAATAAACTGCATTTATTAATATATTACTAATTTGATATAATAAATATTTATTTATTAAAATACGTAGATTAAATATTATATTAATTGTAATATAGACTAGTATTAGAAAAATTTAAAACATAACTACTAAAGCAACATTATTATACAAGTACTATACAGTACGTACTGTACGCTAAAAAAATTCGGACATCATATAAATGGCACATCACTAGGTAAAAATCACGAGACTGCAAAATTTTTGCGCCACCACTTTGCTAACCGATTATATCTTTCAAAAATTTGTCAATGCGCCCTTTTAATACGAGGCACCTAGGGATGGAAAATGTTTTAAAACGGAATGTTTAAAAACATGTTTGTTTGATTTAAAACATTCTGACGTAATCATAATACGTAACAATGGGATAGCATTTATTTATTTAATTAATTCGTTAAAATACAATTTTATCGTTATCTCTTTTCAAAATATAAAATTATAAACAATCATGTTTCGTGAGATCTATTAAAGAAATTCGCTTGAACTTTACAAAAGTTACGAAAACTGCACCTCGTCAAAAGTGTCGCCAAAAGTGTAACTATTATGGAGAGGACTTTGTGGATTATCACTTATATAAATGCAAAAGGCTTTAAATAATCAACGGGTAAAAAAATTGTTGCAGTCTATCAGAATTTAAGAATTCAAAAAGGAATTGAGATTGATGGTTGGTTCGAAGATGACGATAAAAAAAAAATAAATTATATATATATATAGTTAAGCAATTGCGCATTTTTTGTAATTATATAAGGCCACACAAAGTTAATTTTTCATTTTGCATTACCCGCCGACCCATTTTTTTTTTTTTTTAGGTTCCAATTGTGCCAATTGTTCTATTTTTGCCATTTAATTTTTACCCATAAATCATTCTGGTATCACCTTAGTTTCCGGAATTATCGATAGAACTGATAAAAAAAAATTCGATTGCCGACCCAATTTTCTGATTCCATGTTATGTAAAGCGAAAAATTAACTATGAATGACCTTAAATGTGAATATGAGTCTATTATTTACTGTAGAAAAAAAAAATAAAAAATAAAAAATCCGACCGCCGACCGTTGATTCTGAAATCCGTGTAATGCAAAACGAAAAATTAACTTTGCGTGGCCTAATAGCGAAAGGTTATAAAGTGAATATTTTTTCTTTATGAAATTTGGTGAATCGACTAAATTTTAAATTTTAGTTTCAACGTCAATGTTTTAAAAAGTTTTTAAAAAGTTTTAAAACATCTAAAAAAACGGTAATTTGAGGCACGGCACGTGTTTGCCCATTTGGCACAGAGGTGTGACTAATAGGCATTTACTAATTAATTATATTAGTTAACCACTATTCATCACTCCATGCCAAGATTTTGAAATTTCTAACCGAATTGCAAGGCAGGCAGAATTTGGGGTAGAAATGAGGAACTCTAGCTATGGGGCGCCATGTCTATAGATCAGGGACGCGGTCACTACTAATCATGTGACATAGCTTAAATTACAAGTTAACTTCGTAATAACGTCAAAATAAAAATTTCCAAAATTTTGCTCAACAGTATCGGTATTGTTTATTGAACCCATTGATCAACGAATACAGAAATGGTTCAATTTGTGTAACAAAAAATAGGGGTCGTCACGGGTAGATCCACCAATTATAACAAAAGCTAATATACAAAAACAGGGATAAATATCGCGTAATACTGTAATAAACTCTTTGTTCACCAATTCAGTTATAAAAAAAAAGCTCGTCTTCTCCATCCCAATACTTTAAGAAAAAACTATGGTAAAAATAAGTTAAACACCAAAACAATCGTTTCTATTTTTCAAGGTCGCTTCACCACTGGATACGAAAACATTAATGGGCATAATAAGAAAAATATATACGTGGAAAAATTTAAGAAAAAACTATGGTAAAAATAAGTTAAAAACAAACCCAATTTCTTTGCTCAGAGTGTTTTTATTTAAAAAAAGTTTCGTCGTTTCTATTAACCAGGTCCTTACGTAATTAAAAAAAAATTTTCCACTAGTCGAAGGTAAACCAGGTCCTTACGTAATTAAAAAAAAATTTTCCACTAGTCGAAGGTAACGAACGAGCTATCAACAGTAAGATGGTCTTCCTTTGAAAGTTTCAGAAGGAATCACATTTTTCCAAAATCTCACAAAGATACAAATATCTGGGCCTGAACAAGAGTTTTTCATCGCGATGAAGGTGTTGGAAAGAACATTCACCCACACGATCGGCATCAAAATGTTGTAACCAGGGAGAGACTTATGAATTGGTAGGTAATGTTAAAATACTTTATTTATTATACAACACGCTGAATTCCTTTTTTCCTTTATTAATTAAGCGTTATATTTTTACATTTCATGCCTCATGTTTTTTTTTCCCAACAGCACTGTCTATTCCATCAACATCGCCAATTTTATTTGCCTCCATATACCATTCGGAGGCTTTTTCATAAGGCCACGCAAAGTTTTGCATTACATGGATTTCAGAATCAACGGTCGGTCGGTCGAATTTTTATTTTTATTTTTATTTTATTTTTATTTTTTAAATCTACAGTAATCAAGACTCATATACACATTTAAGGTCACGCATAGTTAATTTTTCGCTTTGCATAACATGGAATCAGAAAATTGGGTCGGCAATCGAATTTTTTTTATCAGTTCTATCGGACAATTCCAGAAAAATAAGGTCTATATCGGGTGATACCGGATTAATTTATGAAAAAAGATTAAATTGCAAAAATAGAACAACTGGCACAATTGGAACCTGAAAAAAATTTTTTTTTCGAAAATTGAATTAACTTTGTGTAGCTTAATCCTTAGCACTGGGCGTTCATTTTCGGCAGATTTCGAAGACCACATGAATTCGCTTTCATCTTTATCGGTACTTATTCCATTACTATAGTCCATATCAGATTTTTGTTGTTCATTATTTTCTACATCAACTTCTACAGCTTTCTGTCTGTCGAAAAAGTCGTGTTTACGGCGAAAACTAATCTACTATAAAAAAAAAACAACAGTATCAACTGGCAAAGACTCTAAAACCTAGAGTTGGAAGCAGAAGAGAGGCGTGGAAAACTTGGTCCGAGTTTCGAGGTCTTTGAATCTTACTGCGGCACGACTTAATGATAAGATAAGTATAGCCTTGAGATCTTTTACCAGGTATATTTTATGCTCCACTTGAGGCTAAAGGAAACTTCTCTTCTTGAATTTGACGCAACCGGGATTCTATATTCGACTTCAATCGTTAAGATTTTTAACGATTGTCATGTGATCACGTGTTTTCGAAATTGGATTGTAAGGATGAGTACGACGGAAATTCGGTCTTCCGGGGCAACCTAGTCCAACACACAAACAAAGCAGATAACCTATCGATAGATGCGTGTTATATTTGTTCAATTTCTCGTTTACACCATCGTTATCTTTTTCGTCGGCTTCGTCAGCATCCATGCCATCTAAGTTGAAATCTTC